GCGGCTGACGCTTTCGCGGCTGTTTTACTGCACAGCCGACCAACCAGCGATGTTTGTAGCAATAGCAGTGTTCACGAGAAGAAAACTTCCCTCGAGGATAACCACATTGAACGCGAATTAATCAGTCCCAATTTTCTTTCTTTACCAGCTCGTCTTATGAAGTTCGTTGACTACTGCTGTTCCTCTTGATCGATTTAATTGAAGGAAGGGTTGCTGTAACTCGCGACATTCTGTTTTCGTGTGTATCAGTTTATTTTGAGTATCAGTCAGTTCTGAGGGGTAAAATTTACATTCCATTTTGTTTTCTAAGAATTATAATGATACTTAAAATGTTCGACGTCGAATTGATGTCTGATCGTAGTTTTAATTCTACTGAGTGTCTTCTCGAATTTATGAAAGGCCTTACGACTCGTGTTTGTTTTCATTCACAGAATAGTTGTTTAGCTGAAAGCGCAAATGAAAGAACCATCATTTCCATAACAGTAGCATAGTAGATCTTCGCGCAGACTTATCTGGCTTTAAAATTATGATGTCTGGCTTATCAGACGTTGCCGTACTCGATTCATTGAGAATCATTAATCACACGGGCGTATCATTCATTCAGAAAGTTGGGCTCGTAGATCCACGTCGACTCAAGCATTAGTCATTCCGCCTCTCTCGTGTAACGAGCTTCGTCTTCCTTTGTGGTCCATCGTTAGGGTTTGGGATGCGGAGTGGAAAGGCGAGGCGGCACCAGCCCGCAGATGGGTTTCTGATCGTGTGGGTGCATACAGATTCTCCTAAAAGTGAGGCGGCTATTTTTGGGCTGTGGGGGTCCGCAGAAAACATCTATTAGCGTTACCGCGGCTATCAATGGCGAAAGCAAACAACATTAAATTACAACTTTAAAAGTGTGAAAGTTAAATGTTCAATGACCCATGTACGTGGAGTTGGGGTGTCGGTTAAATGTGTCAAATTATACGTTATTTCATCGCAAGGTGGCGATCTGTCTCCTACAATTATTTAGTTCTGTAATTTTTCCATTGTTATGTAATGTAGAGAAGGAGGATAGGTCAGTAAGTCAGTTTTTTACAATGCCAACGTTTCGGCCATTTATGGGGCTTGCTTCAGGGCTGTAATTAGAAGTATGTTAAGCGACATGTCTCATCAGTTTTTTAAATTTTTTTTATATTTTTGTTGCTCCCACAAACGGGAACAGCTATGACTTGGTTCATGATTGCTAACTGTATTGGCCCAACCTCTCTATTCTTCACATTATATTTATAATACGAGATGAAGATCAACAGAATTCCATTGTTACGTAAACGTGAGCCTGGGTGGGCATCGTGTTGGCCACGAGAGGAGGCGCCGTTGTGGACAGCCCTGCGACCGCGTGGTGGGCCCGGGGCGTCGGCGGGAGGGCGCGGGGTGGGGGTGCATTGTTGCCTCCGCCCTTCCCTGTGCATCCCCCCTCCCCCTCCCACCTTCAGCCCAGCGGCCGCTGCCTCTGTCGGCGGTCCTCTCCGTTTCAGGCGCTCTCGCTCATTGCGGCTGCCTCCTGTGATTGTGACGTGCGACGCGGCTCTTGCTCGCTGATGCCCCCAGGCGCCGACGACGTCTCAAACACTCGAGTCGTCTACGCCACCATTGTCTTCACTACACAAAGACTGCAATCGTCCGCCCTTCCCGCGATGTGGCTACCGCAGTTATGATGTGTTGTCACAGCCGCCGTCGTCACGGGTGCAAGCTAGTTTTTCTTTTTCTTGTTGGGACCTAATTCGTTTTCATTAACATTCTCCACGTTTTTTCTATTGAATAACTAAATCCAGATTATTACTTTCTTCAGGAAGCTCGCCCTAGGGCGGTCACAAAGTAAATGTCGCATAACACGCCTTCAGTCAGGTCGTAATGAGCGCTGGTGGTAGAAGGAATAGAAAGATGACGTAGGTATTCTTATGATCTATTCTTGCTCGTCTCTCCGAAAAAAAAAAAAGAAAAAAACCTACACTTCCGAGCGAGGTTCTTTGTTCTCACCCCCTTCATCCCACCCAACGCGATGCGACGGTCTGGTTTCCCGCGACCGCCGATGGACCTCTGTGTGGTCGGCATCTCTCGGCTCGGCCGTAGCTCTTCCTTTCCCTTTGTCGCCAGCGCCTCCTCCTTCCGCACCCCCTCCCCCGCCCCCGCAGGCGTTTCTCCACGCCTGAGAGCACCGCCGCGCCGCGAAAGAGGAATCCGGCCCATCATCTCCCACGCCACTCCCGACGCCGCGCCACGTTGCAAGCGCCCCCGGAGGCCTTTCGAGGTATCTGGGGCCTACGCGCCGGCTGATGTTTATGCGTCCGGCCGCCGCCTGCTTGACCGGGCGGCGGGGTGGGCGTGGCCCCTTCGGCGGGTGGGTGGAGGGGGGAGCGTGCCTGCGGAAAGAGTCATCGTTTTGTTTTGTTTTTCTCGTACGACGAAATCTCGTTTGATATTATCAACAACGCCTAGCGGGAATTGGGGAATCTAAAGGTTATCAAAACAAATGAGGATCCCGAAATAAGGTCCTCAAAAAAGGAGGTGGCAGGGTAGCCAACTGTAAGGAAAGGAAGTCGTGAAAAAGTCAATGAATTGGAATGTAACACGCAATAGATTAAATAGATCTGGAATCATTAGAAAGTAAGCGGATGGTGATTTTTTTTTCTTCCGTGTTGCATGTGCACGTGATGTTCATTGACACGAGAGTTGCTTTGTATTTGAACTGATTGGTTAATTGACGCCGGAGGGGACGCGAAGCCCCGGTCCTTTGTCCGCGTGATCACTCTATGCGCCCACGACCTCCGTGACCTTTGCGGTGCACTTGCGTTGCTTGCGCACACGTGCAAGACGCAGTTCTTCTCCTGGGCTGTGCCGAGCTTATTGCTTCAGCTGTACCTCTAAAGTTTTATTTCAAGAACGTATTGTGAATGACAAATCTGGATCCAATATTAATTAAATCATACAATTGTAGATAATGTAAAATATAAAAAAGTTACGGGTTATTTTAGCGCTATTTACGGGCTGCCATGAAATTATATAATAATATGTAATGACGTTTCACTTTCGAAATTCACACAAGTAAATTTGTAAATAAAAAAACTTATAAATAAAACTTGTCGGAATTTGATAGAATGTTTCGTGCAATATACTAGTACTATTATGAAAGTACTGCGAAGTTTTTTAACAATTTTCAACAGTAACGGAAATTATTTTCCCTAACTCGTCAGTGTTTTTGAACGTCGCAAAGTTCAAACTTAAAAAGATAGAAAGCTTTAGAATGCTACTAGAGAACAGTACATCACTAATTAAACTAATATCCTTGATAAAAAAATTGAAAGTGAATTGGCCATGGTATTAAAACGCCCCAATTCCCTATCTCGAAGTCTGGGAACTGCAATTCTTAGAACACTTCATCAGGGATCGCCTGGCGGTTTAAGATACTTGGGGGACTGAAAGCCCTCTTGAAACTCCATTACATACTCTCCGCAAATTAACCAACTTGTTCTACAGTTGAGCTAAACTAATTAGAGACAAAGGACCACTTCCCCCTGCTAAATGGTTTTGGAGGCGCTTGCGGCCTGTCTTG